TGCTTCATATATGCCTGGAGTTTGGATTCGCCCGCCGAACACCTGCAAAATCATTTGTCCAACAAATCCTTCGAGTTATACTGCCAGCACATGTAATGTACTATGATTTGTGACGCTTTCAACTAACATGCGATGTCAGACTGCCGTGAAAGAGCGTTGATCAAGGATGATTTGTTTTGCCGCGGTGATTTTTGATTGAGTGAGTAAGTATGATTCTGTGATCGCACATGATCATACGGCAGGGATGCCAAGTACAGATACATCATTACATGGATTTGTGTGGATTCCCTTGCAATGTGTGCTTTGTTTCAGGACCTTTAAATATGTGTGATCATGTGTCATTTGGAACCAAACTTGCCAGTCGACACGAACTTGCCGACTGGGACCTCGGCCCTGGTAAGAGGTCGGTCACAGAGGGCGTGCAGATCACATTCGACCTGTGCACAGAACTTACTTGCCGGAATTTGAAGGAACAACGACCCTCCATCCAACAAACATGGTGGAAGTGGTTCCCATGGCCCCGGTCACGAAAGACGGCTGTCTGAATAGGCTGGTTTTCCACGTCACCATGGATTGTTTCAGGGAAGGTAAAGAAACCGGTTCTGAGACCCGGAAGGTTAGGGGAATTCCATCGCTGTTTTCAGAGGAACTGAGCAGTTGGAAGCCAATGGTGTTGGACCACGTTGTTCGTTATTTGGAGTTGTTGGGGTTCACCCCAAAGTGTTTCTGAAAGCATGATGGCAAGAAACCCGGACAGGACTCACATGGCCATCGAAGGATTCCCCGTGTGTCGGCCAGTGAAGGCTAGACGGGGGTAGTTTCATTGACGCTATGGCAGCTATGACAGCTAAGCAACCCAAATACGACAACGACAAAGCATGTGTCAGCTTAGCAACGGTCCCAGACGGTATGTCTTCGATAGTGACTCCGTTGGTTTGTCCACTGACACATGTCTTCGATTGACACGCGTTTGACCGGATGCCTGGCGTGGCTTCGATCGCCAGTGGGCGATCCAGAAGGATGCACGAACTCTGGGACGTCATAGGTGACCTGCATGAGTTCATGTTTGCGGAGCAAGCATAAATGGACATCAACTGAATACATTCATATACAACCATCAATGACCTTTGTAGATATTATAAGTGAATGCACTTCAGAGAATGACTCGGGACATCACGACATATTTGTTTACATTCTTAACCAGAACATACCAGAACATTCAACCAGTAAGAACACACTTCTTGCGCCAGTGTTCCGCCCCCTTCGAAAGACATTCAGCCGAAGGGGTCGCACACTGCGCCTACCATGCCCTAGGTAGTTACCGGAGTTTTTTGCAATACAGTTCCTTGGCAAAAATCGGTCCGCGGGATGGTGGAGAGTGGAGAGATGTGGAGAGTGGTCCAGTGGAGGGTAAAGTCGTCGATGCATGTCGACGCCGGCCTTCAGTGCTATCTTCAACAAGATCAACCGGCCATAAGAAGCCCAAATGTGTCAAAGGTTATGAGTATTGAATATGCTCCTTTTCTCTTCAAAATGAGGCTGATTTAGAACACTCTCCGGTGGATATGACATGATATAATATATGACTCATGATTCACCACTTCTTTGTTCGAGGATCCATCCCGGACGGACGCCCTTCACTGCATGACCTGAGGCGATCGAGAGTGCAACGATCGACAAGGACGTGGCGACCATCAAGCAAGTCCAGGCCAAAGCGCATCAGGCCGGGGAACACCGGGGGAGGGCAGCGGCGAAAACGGATTAGGTGTCGTTTTCACGGCGGTGGCAGCGAACCAAACGCTTGCGAAACGTCTTCCCTTGGGATTGTGTGGAACGTTTGGGTGTGTCTATTTTGGCTTGGAACAACATGTACTTGAATGGACTCAACTGGTTTACCTGGAACATCAAATAATGGACAGTAGTGGTCTGGCGTTGTTCAATAACTTCAAGTACAACACTAATGGTTGGCGTTCGAATGCAGTGATCGACCTGTACACCCTACGCCAGACACAAAGGGGTGAACTTGGGCAGGCCAGAGCCTACTCTTGGGCGCACCCAAACCTACAGTGGTTTCAGAGACCCCATGATGTCCTTTAGATGGGGCTCCATACAAACCACCTTTTGGGGTCTGTGCCATCTACTCTCAATCCACTATAGAGAGAAGGGTCGCCACCTGCGCAAACAACTTTGATGGGTCTCACGCCCTTGGAACCTTCAACAGCTTCAAAGAGGCCATCTCTGCCACATCCTTTAGACTTTGGGGGTCCTTTATTCAAACCACTTACTGTACTTAAGTACTTCTAAAATCATGGCATGCTCTCAAGCTGCAGTCCATCCAATTGAATCCCGTCCATCGTCCCACGTCAAAACACGTCGTAACACGTGCATTGGGTTGGACGCATTTGGACCGCTCAGGTGGAGCACCTGAAGCACATCTTCCAAGAGATCGATCGGCTGAACGTGAACGAAGTCAGCTTCCAGGCCGCGGAGGGCGAAACTGACCAGTCAGTGACCTTTATATATCATTTCGGGGGACTGGTTATGTTACAGTTATATACACCCCCCCCACTAAACAAGAAGAGGTGGAAGAGGCATAAAAACCCCTTATAAGCATATTAGGCTGTACTTGACTGGGAGGTGACCGGAGTCAGAAAAAGGTGACCCTGGGTGCAGAATCTGAAGACAAGGGCTCGTGTGTGTTTGGTCCATTTTCCAGGGAAAGAAACGGCTAAAAAACCAGCACCACCCAGTTCGGGTGGTTTAGAGACCCCCGTGAAGATGCATTTTCCATCTAATCACATCTAAGAACCACCCGAACTGGGTGGTGCTGGAAGGACTCCGCTTTTGCACCGCGGCGGCACCTGCCGGAGCTCTTCACGAACCGTGCCGCGTGAGTTCGCGCTGCGCGCGAGCCGCGAACCGTGGTCGCGAGGATGTGCAGGAGGCGATCAGCTCTGGGGAGTTGTCCAGCTTCATGGAAGCAGTGGGCATCTCCACCGATGATGTTTGGACCGGTGACCGGGCGAGCGGGGTGACCAGGGGGGGGCGAACACGGGAAGCAGTCTAGAGGTTGAAGAACCCGAAATTCGACTATCCTATAGGTACCCCGGTAGGGTCCTATAAGGTCATTTAACCTCAGTAGGAAGGTGGTAGTTCCATATATTTTTATACATCTATACACAAAAAATAACATTTGGGGGGTGGGTCAGAGCGTTTGGGTGGTGGTTTGTAGGGTTCCCCGAAGGATCCATTTTGCAGCGCCACTTTTGTCAATACCTCCTCGACTTGGCAAAGATTGCATGGGCAGTGAAAGAATCAAGCACATTCTGCGTAAATACCCTAACCGGGAGTACTACTCTTCATTACTCTCCTTTCAACGAACATGGAAGTGGAGTTCACCCTGGGTTTGTAGAGGAAAATAGCTAGAAGATCCATGAAGATCCTTTCAGCAGAATTTCTTGCCTTTTTCGGCAAGAGCGGCTTTTCCCGTCCTGGGGCGGAAATCAACTTGTTGCCGCAGAAATGTTCTTGTTGCTGTGAATTGTCCCTTTCAGGAAGCTAGTCAGTACAAAGACTATATTCTAGAGGAGTTGAATATTTTCTGTGGCTTACATTGGGCAAAGTTTCCGCCTCCACCTGGAAATCTGGCTACCATCATATCATATGTGTCTTTGTTCTTGAAGGCTTTTTGTGCGGAATTAGCACATACGGAGTCCAAAGTTGAAAACACCTGCCGCAAAAATGCAAGAGAAAAAGGCCTAAATACCCAGTAAAATTGCATAAATACCCGGAAAATCGGCGGAAATACATGGGAACACGACGGACATTTCCTCGCAGAAGGCGGGATTCAAAAACAGTGCGTTTGAAGGGCTTGAACAAATTTTGCAGCCTCTTTGTGAATGTCAGGATTAAAGAAGTGTCAATATCGTAGGGTGTGAGATCTTGAGATGTGAAACCACGTCCTTGCAGTACGATATGTGGTATGCAATCATGGAAGAGACAACCTGGTCGGTGTTAGGCAGTGGTGATGGCTTTTGAAAGGCGATGTTGAAATTTGTGTGCGGCAGAGATTCCTACCTGGCGCGGATTTCCCCTAAATCCGCGAATCCTCCCGGGCAAATCGGGCCGAGGCGGAAATTTTTGTCCCAGGTGCTTCTAGGTATGGAAAATGGCCATGCCATTTTCTTTGGCTGTGTCACGTGTCACGTTGACTATCTCATTAATTTTATCAAGATTCCATGACCCCGTTGAAGACACGAGCCCTTTTGGGGTCTTTTTGTGCTTCCGTTTGGTCGCTTGCTTGTCGCTCTTTCATGCTTCCTTTTTGGAGTGAAGCGTTTGGGTGAACTGGCACGATGCCACAGGAGGCACCATGTTTGAAGGAGACTGGCAATGCCAAACCAGGCAACAGGGAGAAAAGCTAAGTCCAAACCTGATCAGAGCGGTTTTTCCAAAGCATGATCCTAGCAGATTTCCTAGCAGTTAAAGGAGGCATGACACCCCAGCTTCTAACTCCGTCGCTCGTTTGCTGCGCTTGGTTCCGTTTGTATACCTCAACTTGGATTCACCTTCCACAGTTTGATACCTGGGCCCGCGATGTTCTCCACCCTGACGTCGGATACAGTCCAACCGGCAAGGGTATTTGGCCAGCCTTGACTATGAGAAGTGCTTTGACTGTCTCAGGCCTACGGTCTGTACTGAGCCCTGCTCCGTCAAGCTGTAATGGACAGTGGTTTCTGTGAAAAACCATGTGCACAGATGTGGGACGAACCCATGTGCGCTAGCCGCCGTGCTGGACTGGACACACGGGGATCCCGGTCTTGGGGGGGATCCTCTGGTGCGGAGCGCTGGACTAGCTCGCTGCATCGGAGTGCATTGGAGCCTCCGGTCCGATGATGTGACACTTGGACCTTCATGGACGATCGGACCTTCAGCTCCACATGGCCTGCTCGCTTGATGGACAGGGTTCGCATGTGGCAGCAGTGGAGCAGGGGTGCTGGGGCTTCTGGAAAGTGCACCAAGAGCGCTAGTGGCGCTTCAGAGATTTTGTGATCCTGCCACCTCTCAAGTGTCACAACTCGGGGTCAGACCAACGCGCCTAAAGAGCAAGCTCGCTTCAGTTTGGCTTCAGCAAGACTAGAACTCCTGAGCGTTCTTCGTTTGCCCTATGGGACTTTCACATGATACGCTCGCGCATTTGGGATCTCGGCTGTGGCGTATTGATGGCTGGCCTGTCTCCCCACATGGAACGACTGTGACCGCCTTTGGAAGGCCATCTCTGGTTCGCGCTGTTCTGTTCGGAGGAATTCAGCACCTGGATGCTCACGAACCTCTTTCGTGTCATCACTCAGCTTTTCAACAAGGGTCTGCTTGTTTAAAGCACGACGGCTGGTTGCCCAGTTCATGCTCAGCGTGCATGGATGAAAAAGAGAGGGTGGCTGCTGGCCCTTGCCGATTGCGTGCGCTGCTTGCTTTGTGCCATGCACACCTCAAAAGCCTGCTACTGTACTGCTACTACCACTACCACTACCACTACCACTACCACTAC